TCCCCCTTCCTACGCAACCTGCTTCCCCCTCTTTGCAAATATCGGCTGATCTTCCAACATCTTATCTCGTTTGTGCAGGAATGTTTGTTGAGAGGAAATACATCCACTAAAATTCGAAAGTAATTTGTAATTTGAGTAGAAGTTGCTCAGAAAAATTAAAGTAAACTACTAATTACCGAAATGAAAATGGAATTGAAAGTTACTAAACTACTCAAAAAAAGTAGTTAAACCACAGTAACTTGAGTAGAGCAGTTGAACTACGTACAAGTCTGTGACAGCTCCTGCAATTGTGGCCATATTTCTTTATTTTCATATACCACTCCGATTCATGCGTTGCCTGCCCTTTCAACCATGCTTAAAATGTTAGTTGAAGTTTCGCCTGTAGCTACAGGCCATACCTAAATAAAGGCACATATAAAGATTTACACTTTCTACGAAAAACACGCCAAAAAAAAATTGAATAGAAACGAGCGCGCCGACAGCTAGCGTCGTCACAGCCCCCACATGGCGAGTCGGGGAAAAATTCTCTCCTCGCCGTGACGTCACCCTGGTTTGCCGTAAGGGGGCGCCACGCGAACTTCTCGGGGCTAATCGAACCCGGAACCTCCCCATTACAGGTGGAGGTGTATTACAGGTGGAGGTGTCCCGAAGAGCATAAAATTTTCTGTCCTTTGTCCCTCCTGTTCCCCTTCTCCAGGGATTATTTTCGTCTTTCTTGTCCAGCTCGCTTTCACCTTTGCATCTAATTGCATTATAAACAATTCTGTTAAACATTTGTAATGATGGGTCTCATCTGCAAAGCCTGACAAACATTTATTTTATTTTTTTATCTAAGTATTGCCCTTGTTAAAATGCCCACGTATTCAACTTTAAACATACGAAGAGCAAACAACTTTCTGCCAGCTCTGCTGAAAGCAGATACACAGGCATTTTTAAAAAACAAGTGTCCACTCCATTTTTTTTTTTTTTTTTTTGTGGTGCTTGCTTTATGGATAGGTTTTATATTCAAATGCCCCAACTGCCATAAAGAAAACTTGTAAAACAACAACCTTATCTGGTGTGGACCCTGCATGCTATACACTGTTCTTGGTCTCAAGTGAACATGTTTGATACAATCGGAGGTCGGCATTTCAGGTTGCCCTCACTCACCCTCAACTAAGCCCCTCACTCATCCTCCCCCTCAGAGCTACACTCACCCTCACAGTCACTCACCTTCAGCCCTTCACTCAACCTCACGCACTCATACCCCTCGCCGCCCTCACGCACTCGTAAGCGCGAAACACATGTGCGACGAAACCTTCCGATCCAACGTGCGGACTGCCGTAATGACCTTGAGGGGCGAGGGTTTTCGTAGCATCGGAGAGCGTTGAAAACCCTCGCCCCCGACCGTCGTATTGCGCGGTCGGACATCGGATCGGATGGTTTCGTCGTACATGTGTTTCGCGCAGCCCCGCACGGCCCCACACACTCGATCAATGTTTTGGCACTTCGGAGTACGAGTCTTCTTTCTTTATACATTTGTGTTCCGTCAACCGCTCATTTATACACCGTTTAGTTTAGTAACTGTGTACCGTTGTGGCATTTAACTTCAGTGGAGTTGCGGGGAAAAGATGACCACAAGAGGTTGATGAAAGAGTCATTAACAATATTAGGTCACGGGAACGCAGTTAATAAGCCGTCTTTTAGGTTGGACAACGAACTTTGGCGTTTCTTAGGCTGTGAAAAGTTCTGACCTTCAAGGTTTATGTCTGTAGGTTTTCGGGTAGAGGGGACGATGGGTCGTTCTTTTCTTTTTGTATAGGCGTTACTGGGCTTGGGGTTACCAGTGTGTTTGGCGGTCGGGAAGGGAGGGGTCAAAGATAAGAGAGGTGCATGACGCAGAGTGTTGTCCTCGTTGTTTAGTCAGAGGTTACGCTGGTAGAAAGTGGCACTCTTTGGGGTTCTCACCTTCCCTCTTTTTTTTTCTTTTTTTTGTATCGAAGTGCCTATATAACCAGGTTTCGGAAAATAAATAATTTCAGCTGTGTTAGAGACTTTTTAGTGTTGTGTCGTTTACCCGCAGTCTCGGTTTTTTTTCGACCATGTGCAATGCACACCAGCTCGTTTGCGCCCTTACATTTTGTTCAGAACCAAGTCTTTGGTTGTCATCATCACCGGCACGAGGTATCACGTGAAAATATTGCGTCCCTGATTGGATGCAGCCACTTCAAACGTCTTCGAATTGCTCAGATTTGCTCGCTTCTTTCGAGCCAGACCCGATCTCAGCAATTCGTGTCGATCTAGGGAACAACCCGCCAGCAACACCTAAATTGCTGAGAAAGTTGCTTCGTCTGAAGGGGGCCTCACGCACACATGGTCCTCACACCCCTCATGCCACTCGCACGCCTCACCGCCCTTACGGCCTTCATACCCCTCACGCACTCATGGCCCTCGCACCCCTCACGGTCCTCAGTCATGAATTTTCTTGATTCAGAAACTCACTCACCCTCACCTCACCGGTGAAGACGAGGGTGAGTGAGGGCCCTCATGAGTGAGGTTTGCCGAGGTATGGATACAATACACGTGCTTTAAGCATTGAAAACACGTCTGCCAGGCGAGCAAATGCCAGACAAACAGACATTCACCCTAGACTCCAACGAACACAATGGATGGCTTTAGCAGCAGACACGGCAGGGATTCTTGCTGCACCATTAAAGGCCCGTTCACACACGTGCTACCGAGTAGGACCGAGACAAGACCGGTTTTTAAGCCTCTTGCAACCACGCAAGACCAGAAGAGCTGCTGCACAGCAGGTCCTACGCGGTGGCAAGAGGCTTAAAACCGGTCTTGTCTCTCTCGGTTGCAAGAGTGTGAACGGCGCTTAACGCCGCGACCTTTGAGCACTGGCTTGATGACAGGGTCGATACGCAGAAGGAATGCGAAGGACAGATGAGAAACTTGAGGTTACATATTAATGCAATGTTAGGCAAATTATGCTCCCCAAGAATATAGGAGGAAAAAGCCCAACTCTTCATTTTTAGTAGAGATGCCAGCTGCGTAGCTAACCTCCTGTCCTGTGCGCAAACATTCACAGGCCAATGAGAATGCGCTAAAACACTGAACTTCCTGCAAGATGTCAACCTAGACCAACAAGTCCAGAAATCCACTTATTTTCAACCATCCTTTTTATATCCTCTACTCTACCCAGCCCCAGTTTGCTGATCAATGCGGCTACCTCTCCCAGCGGCTAAAAAGCTGCAAGAGGGATTTTCTGGTCAAGTGACCAGCTCAGAGAGCAGGAAGTATCACTTTAATCAGCGGCATAGACTTTCCATTCTCCCGGGAGGGGGGTGGGCAGGCTGAGAAATTTCCCTGGGGGGGGGGGGGTGCTTTTCCGTGCAATTTTTTTTACACCGGCAATTATAAGTAGTTTATTTTAGGGGTACATCTTACAGCGTATGTATATCTTCTTCAGCTATCATTGTAAGAGCAGAGCTCTTGGAACCTTACTTGTTCTAATTTTTATTAACGACTTGCCAATTAATATTTTCTCTCGCATGCGGCTCTTCGCAGACGACTGAATCATCTACCGCTTCGTCAGGTGCATTAAGTTGCGACAGCTCCGGATGGAGTGGGCGCCCTCTACACGAGCTTCCGGTTGTTTTATCTTTTTTTTTTTTTTGGTGGGACATCGCAAAATGGCAGGCTGCTGTGTAAGCAGACCAAACGGACAAAAATTTGATCGATGCCACGTTACCTTCTCGCCAGAACTGGAGATTGAAGCTAACTAAAGCACACTGGGATTCCTTTTCTAATGTATTTTGTCAATAAAGGCAACGTGGGCGTTATTTTGTTTACATGCCACTACTAGAAGCTTGTTACATGGCACGTAAACAGTGCCTCGGTATCATCATGGCCGGGGGGGGTTCTGGCCCCCCCCCCCTCTTCCGGGTCTCACCAGGGGAGGCACGAGCCCTGATGCCACCCCGTAGTCTATGGCTGACTTTAATCGCAGTTAGCGGGAACGCATGGCATCAGAAAGGGCAATCTGATGGCACGGTGCACAACTCTAGCATTGCAGATGCGCTGCAGCAACACACCAAGCCGTTGGAGCACTCTGAAAGTGCCCAATGCCACGCACCCCTGTGTTCCCACTAACTGTGATTAAGGTAGTAGCTAGCGGTCAAGTGAATTCTGCTCTCAACATGCAAGCCTTGCCTGTCGTTTTCTTTCATTCTCAATCAACCTGACCAGAAAGAGCTTTACATGCCTCTTTTAATGTGCACCAAATGCAGTTCTATTCACTTTTAATGTAGGCTTCTTCACCCTTCTCTGCACATTTGGAATCAAATTCATAATAATCGAAGCAAGGACAAAAATTACAGCAGCCACTTGTCTGTCTCGGCATCCACTATTTTGTGCTGCATAGTCAAGACTGGCGCAGCTTCCAGTGCTCCAACGCTGTCAAAAGCACTTGCGAAAGCACGTCCCTTCGTTTGACATCTTCGCACGACAACACATGCAAATGAGACACAAGCAGCAGCCACGTGCTCTCGCAGCAGAGCCAAGCTTCAGCATTGCTGAAGATACACTGGCCTTGACAACGTAGCTGAAAATAGATATTGATTTTTTTCTTTTTATACTTTGTTTCCACAATGTCGGTCACATGACTAGAAAATTTTTCCTGCAGCTATTTTAGCCATTGGAAGACATACCCGTATTCACCAGCAAACTGCCCCAGTCATTGAACATGCCTGGGAGGCACACGCTTGGTCATAGCACTTTTGATTTTCCCACCGTGAGATGTAAAAAATTTCAGCCACAATCGGAACTCCGCAGGAAAATGTCCCAAGTGTCCTGGACGTCCCTCCAAGGTATTCGCAATACCCTCGAACAACATTCAGACGCTCGTATGCAGATCTCCATGCTCCCACCACTCTATGGGCCCATCGTGCCATCAGAATAATTTCAACACTACAGAATTTCTGCCAAACTTTCCTGCTACAGTTTGGTGGCCGTACCTCTTGGTAGTTGAACGTTTTCTTCCTTGCCTCAAGATGGCACACCCCTGAAAGAAATGGGCGTAGAATCCCCTCATCAGATTAGTTGTCCATTTACTCTGGTGTCCCCAAAAATAAACAAGCATCAGACTCATTAAATCAGTTAGAAATAGCTCTCACTGACAGTTCAAGCTGGACAAGTGTCATCAGCACCTAAATGGCCTTCTGCAGTTCTACTTTAGCTGAATTTACTCCAAAGCAATTAACGGCGATTGAGGCATGGGAAGTTTCTGGATAACCAAAACTGTAGCGCACATTACACGTCTTAAAGTCTCATTTCTCCGCCGCAACGCAAAACCCAAGTATCTCGCGCTTGTAGCGCCATCAAGATACAGGAACAACTTTTATCTCAAATGAAATGCTGTCCCTTAAATAAAAAGTCTTTGTCCTGAGTAAGATTCTTGATTTGCTTAAATATGAGAACACGACACGAGAGGTCGCCTCGGCAAGAAACGTCCAGTGTACTGGCCTTTGCCGAGAGGCATTTCAGTGTCGTAAGAAGCAGCGACTTGCCAGCGACAGTTGCCTACCTTGTGGGTCTAACAAACCGTTTGTGGCATTCGCTTTCCATAGGAGTGCAACGTCATCCTATAAAAAAAATCGCAGTCACGAGGACGCCGCCGACGTGCTCACGACAGCTGCGGTCCTGGGAGTCACCAGTTTCAAACTCTGCTTGTCGTGGCTTCAGCCAACTTCTCAGTATCACGGGGGGCAACATAAACACTTTTGAGTTAGTATATGCACGCAATTTCCACGTGCATATGGAAAAACACGTTTTGTGTTCGGCGCATGTGCATTGGCGACGCCAATTTTTTGCCACACGCTATTCTAAATTTCCCCAGTACCTCTACTCCGACAACAACGTTTAGGCTTCAATCGACCCAAGTCCGTGTCCGACAATCACTCCCAAGAAAATTAAGCTTGAAGTAGAAATTCAGAACCCAAGGCCTTGCTAGTGTAATGGTTAAATTCTGGTGATTACCTGATTTTCAGACGCGACGTTACTTGTGATTTCAAATCTCTCCAAATCACCCGGGCTGCACTGTAGACCCCTGCATGTATCAAATCACAACTTTTGTGGCTTGCATCGGTAGGAACGTCCACGCATCAACGTAGAGTGAGTAAACATCAGACTCATTAAATCAGTCAATAAGAACTCTCACAGGAAGTTCAAGCTCAGTTTGTGTCATCAGCAGTGAAATCACAATTCAGTGTACATCTCCTTTTCACCCACTTGTTACGAGCGACAGCAGGCAGCCGAAATATCCGAGAATCGATGACAATATACGATACGACTTCACAACACCACTGTGTACAAACAAATGCTTCTCATGGTTTCCACAAGCACTTAAAAAACGTGAAGGTTTTCAACAACACAGACGTTTTTGAGAAGCATTTCCTGTGTCAGTTCATGGCAGCAACTATTCCGAAGTGAACTTCTAAGATTAACTACAATCTCATTCATTTTAACATACTCAGTATTACTTGGTACCAGCTTCTTTTTTCATTTTCCACTACCTGGTTTTTCTGAGGCCATTTGACTTTGCAAGATGAATGACATCACTTCAGTTTCTGCCGACTCACTCTTTTTCTTACTTTTAAACCAGTCGTTTTTTTACCAACACGGCGACATTAATCTTGATTTCACATTTCTCCGAATCACAGTACTTTTTTCTGTCTCTCAAAGTGCATCAATGTTTTGTAGAAAATCCTGCATCGCCTCGAAACATGTGCAATGAAAGTGGAATGCAAGTATCCTCAATAGATGTCGCGTACCTCACCTGTCACGTTTCCTCTCGACATCCGCTTGCTTCTCCATTCTTCATACCTTCCGCAAAACACCATGGCCGTTCCTGCAAACGCCACATCACAACCTCTACAGCCGAAGCAATCGCCACATACATGCAGTCACGTCCACAAGAACTGTCAGACTCATTAAATCAGTCAGCTAGAGCTCTCACGGATGATTCGAGCTGCAATCGTGTCATCAGCCTTTGATGATATCTTTAGCCACGCACGGGCTTTCACTCACCTCACTTTGACATGGCAACATTGGCCCAGAACTGAAAACAATAATGAAAAGCTGTTATTCATTGTGTAATAAGCTAATCACTGTGCTGTGACAGGGAAATACAAGTCAGACTCATTAAATCAGTCAATAGTACTCTCACAGGACTTCAAGACATGCATAGTGTCATCAAGACAGGAATTGCCACCGGCACACCAGTGGTATACGCCACAAGACTTACCACCGGATTCTACGAAGAGCGCCATCGACGACATTTCCAAGGCAACGGTCAGATCAAGTAATCACGTCCAGCCTCGGAAAGATCAGGGTGGGGGTGGCTGCTTCGTTCGACCGTGCTTGACGCTGCAACATTTTATTTATTCATCCTCACGAACAAGAGCAAAATCAAACGCATTCCATACTAATAATTAAGCTCACTGCAAAAGGAATGGCTAGAATTTTAAGAGCATTGCCAATCACCAATGTGCAAAAGACCTCTCATGATCCTGCATCAAACAAAAGCCTAGACTGAAGCAATACAGACAAGAGGCAATGGACCTTTTTCTAAAGCCCTTCAATAGATCATTTGCTAAATCCACCAAGTGCCTCGGACCGCACCCGAGGAATCATGGGAACGGTGTTCTTTCATCTCCTTAGTGATCAGTAATTTCAACCAATTCCATGATCACACAGTTTTGAGTGTAATATGGAGCCACCCTGAACAAGCGTCGTATAAAACCCAAGGACCTCTCATATCGCTTCTAACATTTCTCGTCAATGTCAGCGTTTTCAATACTGTGCACGCCGTCCACCCTTCAACCTGGCTGAGCCGTAGATATCCTTTACATTATAATCATTCTCGTACAGCTGATATTAAGTTAGAAACACTAGAAATGCTATAGACAGCCCTGCTGACTCCGAGCTAAATCCAATTTTTGGCTGTAGTGATTTCTCGGCTTTTTAACGAATTCCTGCTAAAACAATCAAGAGAATGATAATATTGTAAGAGTTTTGCCGTCGTGCACTTCAACCATTTCCGGTCTAAGTGCACGACCCCGTGTGTATGCATGCCTTGTACGTCACATGATGACGTCGAACACTGGTAATCACCATGCTGGCGACTGACTGGACGGCCCTTCGCAGCGAGAGCAATGGTAAACTGCACCGCGCTCAGCCGTGCCAATTACTACGTATCCTGACGATCGTCCGATCGTTTCGTCGGCATGCCCCACAAGACAGAGTAGCCGTCAAGTTAAAGAAAGTATGAGCGGCAGGAAAGGTATGCGGCCGCGGATTATCGAGTTTGCGGGACGCATTTCCTAGGGGCGATCGACGGCACTTTTTATGTTTGCGCACGCCTCTACATCTGCTTTGCCCATTCGTGGTGTAGATGGCCTTTGCCTTTCGTTACATAACACTGTTTCTACGCTTCGAGCGCACCTTCGGGGCTCCCGGCCGAGTACGGGCGAGTGTCCCGTCGCGAGCCCAGCCAGACGGCGATCGGTTGGCAGCGGCCACCGTGTACAAGCTCGCAGAGACGCCGCCGCCGGGACATCGGTTTGTGCCGTCCGCGAGACGGTATCGTTTGCAAGGAGCTAAAGTATCCAGGCGAGCCAGTTAGGAAACGTCATAATACGAACCCTGAGACAAGGAGAGTAGTCTTGTCCGTTATTTGATTTATTCTTGTCTCAGGGTTCAGATTATGACAACAACTTTGCGTTGTTTACCAGTATTTCGCAAAATCATAACAATGTTTCTACAAGCGATTCCTCGAGCGCTCATCAAATATTAAACCCGACAATTAAGCTTTTTTTTTTTTTTTTTTTTTGGCAACAGTTTTTTGTGTCAAATATTCGTCGGCGCCACATCGAAACTTTCTGCTCGTAGTGCAAAAGTACTAATGTTGAAAAATTCCGCACGTAAGTGCTAAACGTCATCATCGTAACCTCTGCACGTTTTTCCAAGTTTACATGTAACATAACTAGGTACCCTTGTTAAAAGTATGGTGCATGTCAGCGCATGTCCGGACAGTTAGCGGCATCTTATGCCTTGGTAAGCGCATACGCACAGTGTGAAGTCAACCACCAGTATGGTGCACAGTGATGTGATTGGCCAAAGCCGTTTTGGAGCAGCAAAAGTGGCCTTTGGAGCAGCCAAAACAATGTTGTGCAGCAGCAAAAGTGGCTTTTCGAGCAGCCAAAACAGTGTTTCGGAGCACCAAAAGTGGCTTTCAGAGCAGATATTCTTAGAAAAATAAAAATATTTGTTTTAGGTGCTGGACAAACGAAGGGCACTTTGCTCGCCGAAATAAACGAATTATGGTCAAGTTCGATCACCTACGAGTCTTTCAGCGTGTAACTAAAATGTCAATGACATGACACATTTTGCAATGCTTCAGTTAAATTATACATATATATGTACCAACTATAGATAGAAAAGAACCAAACTTCACATATTAAAATTTATTTGAAAATGACCAGCTGAGTAGTAAATATCACAGCATTAGGTTGACTAGTGATATAATATAATAAATGGGAGCAGTTTCCGACTGATGAAACACATAGCTTTTGCAGTGCAATGCGAAATTGCACACACGTAAAAGGTGCATTACAACTAGCGGGTACTTTTTGCTTTTCGAAACTTTCTGGAAAGCTGCTGCAAGCTTCACTTTGGCCTTAGGCTAGTAATGAATGTCCACTTTCTATGTCTCCAAAGAGACATTGAGACATCCCACAAGTGTTCAGTGCTGTAGGCGTTGCCGAGCAATTCCGAAAAACCGCTTGCCACCGTTTTACTGATTCCCGACGTGCCAGATTTTCGTCGAAAGTAAACGTAAAACAGTGGATTGCAAGCGTCCCGGCTTTTGCTTCATTCGTGCAACCATGTTTGCATGCACGTCAGGGCAACTTCGGTAGGCTTGCAGCAGCACGCGCTTCGTCGCGCGAGCAGAGACGGCTGTTCGATCCAAACCATGCCTCTCCGCTCTTTCGCCAACTGGTTTCCAAAAATGTATGCAAAATGGAACTGCCCAGCATACGACAATAAAGAGTCCAGTGGCGCGTGCCTGCAAGGCCGGCAGGCGAGGTACAAGCTAAACATACAGAAAAAAAAACCTGAGCGCATCGATGCAGGACATCGCGAGTCAGGGTCAAAACGTTCTTGGAGCGCTTTGTGCAACGACTGAACTCGAGACAAACAAGCGCGCTGTGCGGGTTCGGCGTGCAGACATTGCCTTCCTTGCTTCAGCTCACTTCTCTTCACTAACTTTCTTTTGCGACAGATTTTTCATGTGCCGGGGTCCCTCTCGAAAGAAAGCCAACCAGGAGAAACCTATGTAGTCAATACTTCCACGCAGCAGTCTTTGAGTTAAAGAGATTTTGGTAGTAGCGTATGTTTTAAACAAGAACAGGAATGTTGACGAACATGCGGCGGTCTTTATGTTTCAGTTTAGGAAGCTCCATATCTGTAGCGACGTGCGGACTGGCCGGCAGGGACCAAATAGTTTTCCCACGGCCATTGCTTTCAGAAGTGAGTGCTTCAGTTCAAAAAGTAACTCCCGCCGCGCAAAAATGTGATTTCGTTTCACAGCGTGACGGCATGGCTGGTACCCAGTAATTAGCGTTGGAGCGTCCGCACACGCCCGCATCTACCGCTGAAAAAATAAAAAAAAGCGAGATGAGATTCACGAGACGACGAGAGCGCGAAAGAGACTGCGGAAAAAAACAATGCGAGACCGGATGGACGATTGATGTAACTAAAGCAAGGGTGCAGGCGAGCTGGTTCAATACTGACATTGGAGTTTTGTGCTTGCCATACGTCCCTTCTTTTCCCCAGCTCCAGAGTTACAATGCCACGATTGATGTAGAATACTTTGTGTCGGGCGGCCGCTTGCGCCACCTAGCTCACACATGCTCCATGACGGTACTCAGTTTAGTTTTGGTCTCTGAAGGCGACCAAAACTAGTCCTTTGGCGCAGGCTTGGCGCAGATTACCCATATTTTGGCAAAATGTAGCAGGATGTAGCAGGGTTAGCCCTTGGCGCAGTTTGGCGCAGCAATCACATCACTGGGTGCAGGGCCGCGTCCTTCCCTAGCATGACGCCATTTGCAAGGCATGTGTAGCTTTACTCAAACAAGTAGCCTGGGGTGCTATGTTGCGCTTTTTGCACTCCCAGGAGACTTGGAAGAGGGAAGTGACGTCAACGACACAGCAAATGCAGATTGGATGTTGACAGAAGAAAACGAAATCAACACCCAATCTGCGTTTGCTGTGTCGTTGACGTCACTTCCCTCTGCCTAGTCTCCTGGGAGTGCAAAAAGCGCAAGATGGCCCCCCTGGTTTTACTCAGACTGTGGCAGAGAAAAGGTAAAATCAGGCACAAAAGGGAACGTCTCAAACTCGTCTAACTGGCTTATTTCTGAAGCATCATAGCGTGAGCCGTTGAACGATATAACGGCGCGGCCGTTATATCGTTCACGCGCCCGAGTGAACTGCTCGACTCGGCACGGACTAGCGCACAGGAAGGCACGATAGCGTGGACAGAGTAGAGTTTTCAACATCGGCATGCTATAGGCTCGGAAGTCCCATCGGCTACACTGTTTTCTAAAAACGTGGAGATCTAACCCCGATTTACTTGTAAGCTCCCAAAAAAGCTCCGAAGATATCGCACTTCCGCTAGGACTAACCACGTGGGTCAAACCTTACCGCGCCAAGCTTGGTATTAGGGCTTGCTTGGAATTCATGAAGGCAGCACAGGATGTCTTGAATAGAACCCTACTGTGACGCTTTATATCTGTTTCACTGTTCCTTTCTTTTTGCAGTTGACAAAGTCCAAATTGAACGACGACGCAAACAACGCAACGCAACGACCGCCTGCTTTCGGGTATGGTCATGGTGGCCAGTGTTGCCAGACGGAGGAAAAAAAAGTCAGCAGATTGATCCCCAAAAAGTCCATAGAGTTGGTAGAGAGAGTTGCACAAAAATCAGCAGATTCTACGAAATATGTGTTTTGCATTGTTTTGCTATTTACATGAAATCACACTTCGAAGAAATAATAAAGGGTAACAAATAACATAATACTAATAAACACAAATGAATATGAAAAAAAAAGAGCTTCCAAAATTGACGTGCCCCACACCACGCAGTGCACTCTGGGAACTAATTGGCCACTCAGTTTCGGTTTTGACTGAGCAGCTTCGTCTCATGCCATCACGCCGGGACCGAGCGTGCTGCTTGAGTTTTCGATTATCTGAACTTTTTACGAATATACAATACACTCATTTTCGAGCAATACAGAACGCCTAAGATCTGTGCCTGAACAGTCTGCCTGAAATTATCTCGGCATACTCAGTCGGGAAGAAAGCAAACACCCAACACATATTATGGCCATTAGCAACCGTCAAACGCGCTTTGAATAATTTCGTTCGTTTGGTGCACCGCATGGAAGTTCATGCCCGTTCGGCGTTTTTCCGGCGGACGGTACGACATTCTTCACACAAAAAGTGCTAGACTTTTGCTTTCTTAAAGCCGTTTGTATGTGCGAATGAGTCTATTGTAAGGTTGTGGCTTGGACCAACAGGCTTTCTTCGAAGATGCGCCTTTTGTCCGGTGTCATCCGCTCGCCAACTAGGGCGCGGGGGCCATCTGGAACCTTGGGACCGTCCGTGTGAGTTATAACCGGGGAGCTGGGCTAGCCTCGCCTCACCAGAGCGACCCCTCCGCGGCTCCCGGGTCCCCACTGCAAAGAAGCGGGACCTTGTTAACGTATTCTTTAAAACTCATTTCCCACTTGCTCTGGTTCTGTTGTCGCTTGCTTCGCTTTTAGAAGTTTGTTTTGATTTTGTTGTCACTTGCTTCGCTTTTAGAAGCTTGCTTTGGTTTGTTTCGCTGACTCGGATTTGAAAGGTTTGCTTTGGCCTTTTCCCGCGGAATGAGTCAGTCTGGAACTGGGAGCGGAGAGACGGACTTCTCAGCAACACCCTCCTGACCCACACTACGGCAACAAGTGCGCCGATATCTGGCACCGTACTCTTTCTGAAACCTTGCTTGATTGACAGTCCTGAAATTTCTATTAAATTACTTTTCATCTTTACGAACGTCTGAGCGGTTTGGTGGTCTGCCAGCGAGGTCACAGGTGTGAGCAGAATTGCTGGACGTCCGGAAGCTTTTCAACAAGCGACGCCTGGCAGCGACGAAACATCCATCGTCTACACAACGAAGCAAGGGAACGTTTACTCCTATACGATTGCAGGATAACTTTATGCGCATACGCGATGTTGAATATTCGTGGAATGCAAGCGGGTGGGGACTTCGTGCAGCGCTGCAGGGCAGTACCAACTAGGGGTGTCGCAAACTTTTGCCGAACCGGATTTTTAGGTCGAACTTTCGGGGTTCGACGAACCTCCGAACTATTCACCAGATTCGACCGGTTCGACTTTGTGGACACTGTGGCCAGACCTTGGTACAAGCATGTATAGGTTTGGAGAATTTTTTCTTTTGTATGCAATGGGTTATTTTATTTTATGAACAGTTGCAATTAAAATAAATAAATTCTTATCACTGAAGAAGTTCATAACTTAATTTTTTGTACTGAATTAACTGAAAGAATCAATCAGCGCTGCCCTTGATTCATCCCTTAGCCATCACCATCCAATCCGAAGCCAACTGGCTTGCCAGTCGCGATTGCGCACACGAGTCGAACCTCAACACAAGGTTCGCCGAACTTTTCACTAAAAGTTTGAAAAAGTTGAACCTGGTCGAACTCGAACCGCGGCCGGTTCGCGACAGCCCTAGTACCAACGAGCTTAAGTCTTACCTTAGAGCAGTAAATCGGAACCCACTGTCTGCGCAGCAGAAATGGCACCCCCTGGTTGCCGCCATCTTGCCTGTTTGCCACATTATTGATCACGTGATGTTAAGATGGCTGCGCCCAAAGGTGGGCTAGCTCAGATTGGCCAGATCACAGTCAGCAGATGGGCACTCTGGGGCCGTGTTCCAAAATTTACTCGATCTTACGGGGTGAGGGTTTGGTACCTTGGCGTTCCAAAATTTACCCGCGTTCAGCGCTTTTCAAACTGTGTTGTCACGTGACACGACCTGCCGGAGTAACTCGGATCCATTTGGTTAAGATTTGGAACACAGCCTGGGTCTGCGTTCGATTCTTACTTGAATGGCGCCGAGTTATTCCGGCGGACCAAGTTATGTGACAAGACAGATGCAGCAACGCTGGACGCGGGTATGTTTTCGAACGCAACGGGTACGAGAACTTCACCCAGGAGCGAGATAGAAACTGCGTTAGATTTACTTGTACCTCCTGCACCGGTGCCTACCTTGTTAACCGGTGCAGAAAAGTGTGGGGCGGTGTACTTCTGGTCGTATCTAAATATATATACCGGAAGTAGACTGCCCTACTTTTCTGCACCGGCGCAGGAGGTGCAAGTAAATCGAACGCAGATTCTATCTCACTCCTGGGTGAAGTTCTCGTACCCATAGCGTTATTTGAAAACCTACCCGCGTCCAGCGTTGCTGCATCTGTCTTGTCACATGACTTGATCCGCCGGAATAACTCGGCGCCATTCAAGTAAGATTCGAACGCAGCCCCAGAGTGCCCATCTTCTGACCGCGATCTGGCCCACCTCTGGGCGCAACCATCTTAACGTCACATGATCACTAATGTGGCAAACAGGCAAGATGGCGGCAACCGGGGGGGGGCGCCATTTTTGACCGCTGGTTTATTGCTCTAAGTTTACTGAAGCTCGTTGGGCAGTACAGATAAGAGATGGGACGTGTGTTCAAATGGAGCTTTTCAATGGCGACTCAGAGTTTTACCTCGCGTACTCAGGCGTATAGAAAAACAGTAATTGCAAAAAGTTATATTTAGTCTTTGGACGCACGAAACAAACAAACTTCCTGATCAACAACACTAATGTAAAGGCGCGAGCTCGATGTATGCATACTTATTGCTTGCTACAGCTTATTGATTCGTACACAAGCATGATCCCCGAGCTTCACAGCATCGAGATTCCCTGCACTGGCTGGTCCACCCCATACCTCGAAACGCTAACAGAAAGGCTCAAGTATACACAAATACAACAGGCATGCGTTAAAGGGGTACGGAAACCAAATTCTAGAGCCTATCTCTTTGCTTGAACATAAAAAGGGTTAAAATAGGACTTCACCAATACCAATATTCCGTAGGATAACGCAAGAAAATTAATTTGAAACTGAATAAAACGATAACCGAAAACCACCTCGTGGATGTCTGTGAGGCTTCGATGGAATGTCGTGACGACAACATGACCGTAAGAGCAGCGCCACAATGGGAAGTATGGTCACTCATAGGCATCACTTAGGCCTGAACGTAGTACCGAGGCGCCTTGGTGAAAAAAGCAAGAGCAGAGAATTGGCCACCGTTCGTTTCAGTATCGGGTGGTCTTTCCAGCAAAGCCTCTTTGGGGTGGTTTGGAGATTGTGTACATGCGATGTAATATTCACGCTACGAAATGTCTGTTTAAACGGGCCCGCATGCCCACCTTTCCTGATCACGAAATAGCCGCCTTCGTCGACCGCAGCTGATAACGAACTCGATCGCTAAGGAGTCAACACAACTACCATCGTTGCTAAAAGGGGACGGCCAGTACGGCTCTGCAAAACGGTGCACATGTAAACAAATCCCTGCGGCGCTTTTCGGGGATGCGGGAGAGAGCCAACGTCCAGGAAGATACGTTTGAAGTAAAAGAGTGTCAGCAAGATCCACGTAAATACCTGTTCACACTGGGAATAGAATCACACTGGCATTGCGTTCTTGGTAACCGCTTCGGGAACGGTCTTTTACAAACGATTTTATGAACCGCTGGGCTTCTAGACAATCGCAACTCGATGCTGACGAGACGCTCGGCAGAGAAAGATTGGACCAGCATTGAGTCGCTCCCAAAAACTGCTCTAACTCGACATGTGTGGCGTATCATGTCGAAATAAAATGGACATCTAAAAAACGTCTACGTACCCAAGTGGCAAAGGATATCCATATGGCATTTATTTGAGCTCTATAACAAACAGAAAAAAAAGGAGATTGAATCGAGGAGAGTGTCCCTTCTCGACGAGATTGTTCGTCACCGCTGCATCTGAAAACAAGCTAGGTAAGACGAGGGAAAAGACTGGCCTTAACCCAAATTAGAGGTCAGGGTTCAAACTATTCATACGAGGAGGGTCCACAGAGGTCACGTGGGCGTATTCCATCCATCAAACCAGCCGATCGTGTGCAGATGGTCTTGCCCCAGATCGTCGAAGTGTTTTGCTAAGCCTAGCGTCTTTGGTGGTCGCTTGGTCGGTGGGTCCTTGTCGTAGCTTTTTAAGGTATCCGTGGTTCCAGCGTTTGTCTCCGCCGAGGCATTCAGTTTCAATTACTTTTTTTTTTTTTTTCTCTCGTTGGGACGCGCACAGAGAAATGCATGTTGGTCGTCGCAACAACGTAAGCGAGCGTTGTTGCCGGCGATGTCAATTTGATCATAAAAGTGTGTAAAGATTTGTAGCTGTCGTAGGCGTGGTGGTAGGATCTCACCGTAGCGTGCGAAAAACTTGCGATAATTTTGCTTCGTGAATACGGAACTTTTCTTAGGTTTTGCTGCAAGATTGTTTTGTGAATAAGCTCTGTTACATGTTGCAGACGACGAAGACAAGACAGACGGGTCGTACAAATACTACTCTAGGCAGAATCACTTATCGGCCATCATGGCCTGGTGATGTAGCGGCGTGGCAGCACCTTCGTCTTTATTAATGTCATCTACCCACGGCTCTCGTTGCGTTGGTCGGCGACCATTCACTCGAAGCCGCTTGTGCTAAAGCTTCAAGCTTGTGCTAAAGCTTCGAGGTCCGGCCATTTAGGTCAGTTTAGGGATGACAAATGACGCTCTC